TGCACTAATTTTGTACTTCTGATGATCCTTTAATGGCTCTTTTGTATATCTGTGCAAAAAACTTAAATAAGCACCTCATAGAAAAAAAATAAAAGCAGCACAGTGCCGAAAAGTAAAAAATAGTATGGTTATGAAGGGGGGTACATTTTCTGGATTTCAAGTGGTTAATCCCTAATATTTCTCCATTTATTTTATGTTTTGATTTTTAAACTACATTTATGTAATTGTAATGTAAAATTGTATGGGATATGATGATACAATTTTAATAAATAATTTTAATAGTACTAACAATAATAATTCACTGAGTCAAACTGACGTGGGAGAATTGCTATGAGAGTAATTATATATATATATATATATATATATATATATATTTTTTTTTTTTTTTAACTGACTCACTTTCTCTGGAAGTCTACTCCAAGCATCCACTGCTTTTTCAGTAAAATAATACTTTCTTAGATTAGTTTTTAACTTTCCTCCTGCTAAAAAGAAATAAGTAATTCCTGTTCAGTATGTTAATGTTTACACTTTACTAATTATCTGACTATAGCAGATCTAAATGTAATCTATGTATTCTAGATCTATAAAAAATGATAAAAAAGGATACTTGTTATTTACTTTTGGTTGATGAGTTCATTCAAGGACCAGGAATGATGGATTCAGAAACATATAAAGGCTGCCCCAATAGTGGTATGTACCAAAGATATATGACTGTGACATACCAAGGCCATTTTCTGATGAGACGAGCTTGGTGTTTAGTACAGAAAAAAAAAATCAGTGTACTCTATATAGTGCAAAAATGCGAACACTTGAATGAATGAGAACCATCAGGATGGGTCTGAAGGGTAGCTATTCAAGCGTGTCAGTCGTGAGTATTACTCAAGATAGGATGTTCTCCAAATAAAGACATTTAATATAAAATGACAAAATCACATAGACAAACAATGGCATACCGTCATTAACAAAAATTCAGAAAACACTAAAATAATCACTAACAAGGCTACTACATTAACAGTAATAACCCATTATACTCCATATATAGTAGCAGAGTCACATCAAAAAAAGACACAAATCCACCTAGTTCATCTAATAGAAATAAATAAATAAAGAGAGTAAATAAATAGAAAACCACCATATTCAGAATCGTATACCTACAATGCTATAGCTTATTAAGAACACCAATTATATAATAATTCTTTAATAAACATAATGGCCAATAGAGGAACCAGTGTACAATCCATTAACAAAATCAAATTAAGAATATTTTAATGTCTGCAGCTTTACAGATTTACAGGAAGGTCTGATCAATGCTGTCAAAAAGATAGTCCGATTAAAAAAAACGTGAACCTATTAAATGAAGCTCAATTTAGTGTCTGCTACCATATCCTATTCTGTTGTCTTTTCTCCTTCTATTTCCTTGTTTTATTTTATTTCATTATTTTTCCTTCCTATATAAAAAATATATAATATATTATATTATATAGAATTATATTATATTATATTATTACCTCTACCAATCATCAAAGGATTAAAAAAGTTTTGTTGAAAAAGAGTAAGGTGAAAAAAAAAAATGTTTTATTTAAAAATATATTAATATAAATAAAAAAAATATAATATAATATATATTTTAAATATTATATTATAATATATTATTACCCCCACCAATAAGCCAAGTATTAAAAAAGGTTTGTTGAGAAAGAGTAAGGTGAAACAAAATATTTTTCCTATTTATAAATATACGAATATATAAATCAAAATAAAGTAATATAAATAAATAAATTATATAATATACTTTTTAAATATTACAGTATATTATATTATATTATTACCTCTACCAATCATCAAAGGATTAAAAAAGGTTTGTTGAAAAAGAGTAAGGTAAAAAAAAAATGTTTTATTTAAAAAAATATATTCATATAAATAAAAAATATAATTTAATATATATTTTAAATATTATATTATAATATAGTATTACCCCCACCAATAAGCCAAGTATTAAAAAAGGTTTGTTGAGAAAGAGTAAGGTGAAAAAAAATCTTTTTCTTATTTATAAATATACTAATATATAAATCAAAATATAGTAATATAAATAAATAAATTATATAATATACTTTTTAAATATTACAGTATATTATATTATATTATTACCTCTACCAATCATCAAAGGATTAAAAAAAGGTTTGTTCAAAAAGAGTAAGGTGAAAAAAAAATGTTTTATGTAAAAAAATATATTCATATAAATAAAAAATATAATATAACATATATTTTAAATATTATATTATAATATATTATTGCCCCCACCAATAATAAAAAAAAATATATTGATAGAAAATATATTATATGTTATATTATATTATAGTACATTAATATATACACAAAAAATAATATAATATATTATATAATAAATAATAATATAAATAATAAAATTGATCTCTTTTTTTTTAAGTTTCATTATGCAAAAGAAAAAAAAATAAAATAAAAAATATATATACATATATTTATACATATATTCTCTTACTTCATCATAATTTCTTCAAAAAAATCTGCCTGCTTTAAAATAAATATGTATATATATATATAATTGTGCAGAGTCGTTATTTCTATTCTTTCACTTCATCATAATTTATTACAAAAAAAAATCTGCCTGCTTTATTCAGCCTAGTCAACACCCTTCCCCCATTCCCATCACACAAGCTTTCCCTGGTGCAGGGAGAAATTATTCATTGGCACCCTTTCAGACATGCATGCAAGAAACTAATTAACATGGGCAGACATGCAACCAGCGATAAAGCTCACTATACACTCTCACACATACACACACACACACACGCACACGCACACACACAAAGGGGGGGGGGTTATAAAAAAAACATTTACCCAAATGTGGTCTTGTGGGTGAATGTCGCTTCCTATAAAACACACCACACAAGCTGCTATTGTGTGCCTTAGAAAAACCAAGAATAGCACAGTGCTTCCATTATTGAATTTAGACTAATTAGGTGACTCCGCAACATGGTGTCTATTGGGGCCACTCTGTTTATTTGTATGTTTACAGGTTTACAGCAACAATAAATGACAAGCCCAGCCTTAAGTACCATGTGGACCAAACCAACCATCTCAAGCAAATAGTTACAAAGTCAACAGTATTCTTGTCTTCTTACATTTTGAGGGTTGACTATTGTTTTTTGTTGTTTTTGTTGTTTTTTTGTGTTTTTGGAGGACCTCCTGTATTTACAGGGATATTTAAATATTTGCGAGTTACAGAATTATGACAAGTCATGACTCTTCTTTAAACAAGGAATCAAACTCTTGTTTGTTGGATCTGAAGATACTGAAGACACGTGGAGGTCTGTTTTCATCCAACTTTTTCACCCAAGACTCGAAACTCAATACACAAGACTTCTTTTCTTTTCTCTTTTTTTTTCTATTAATTAGAAAAAGCTTTAATCCTGGGATAAAGTTGTATGAATCTCATGTGAAAGCATTTAGATTGTAAGCTCCATGAGCAGGGCCCTCCGATTCCTTCTGTATTGTAATTGTACTGTCCACCTGTAATTGTACTGTTATATTGTACAGCGCTGCGTAAACTGTTGGCGCTATATAAATCCTGTATTATAATAATAATATAATAATAATAATGTCCACCTTATATTGTAAAGCGCTGCGTAAACTGTTGGCGCTGTATAAATCCTGTATTATAATAATAATATAATAATAATAATAATAATGTCCACCTTATATTGTGCAGCGCTGCGTAAACTGTTGGCGCTATATAAATCCTGTATAATAATAATATAATAATAATACTGCCCCCATTATATTGTAAAGCGCTGCGTAAACTGTTGGCGCTCTATAAATCCTGTATAATAATAATATAATAATAATACTGCCCCCCTTATATTGTGCAGCGCTGCGTAAACTGTTGGTGCTATATAAATCCTGTATAACAATAATAATAATATAATAATAATAATACTGTCCCCCTTATATTGAACAGAGCTGCGTAAACTGTTGGCGCTATAAAAATCCTGTATTATAATATAATAAATTTAATAAAATGACCTCTTCCTGTTATACTTTTTCCAGAATTACACAAAGCCTGCACCTAAAGCAACATTAAAACAAAAAACAAAACTGTAATAAATTGCAGTGCACCATTTCCTAGATGTGGCAGCTGCTCTTCGTTTTCATTTTTAGCCTTTTTTTTTTTTCATCTGGTGATCAAGTGAGATTCCCACATGAAATTGGGGAATCTTCCTGAAAGCAGAACTTTGCCTATAACAACTTGGTGAAAGATAATGTTCTTTAGCAAGGAACATACATTCCACCTAAATGATTATGCTACCAAAGTGAGTGTGTGCTGTAAATCACCTCCTACATTATTACTGTTTCCTCTTACTGGAGGCTGACTTTTTGCTGAAGCCCAGAGCCCCTGAGCAGCAGTAAGTCTTTAGGTAGCCAGCGGATCGGCTGCTACAAAGTGCCTTAAAATATAGAGCAATTGAGCATGTGCAGAGCAGGGTGAGACAATGTTTTACAGGATTTTACACAGTATAGGCACTTATTTATAATGTTTTACATAGCTATACCAGCAAAAAGGGGCCCCTGAACTGATCTAGCAGGACTTGATTTTCTGATTGAAGTTCCTCTTTAACCTGACCAGACGTCTGAAGCAAGTTCAGGTCATCTTAAAGTGGAATTATGCTCAATTTTTTTATTGCTGTTTAACATACCTTAGATATAGTGACTTACTATTTTTTTTCCTTTTATTTTCCTTTATTTTTCACCTGGTGACCCATCAAGTAACTCACTTCCTGTCTTAGGGTGTCTCCACTCTGGATGGAAGAGCAATGGAGGCACCCCTTTTCAGCAACATTGTCATTGTGGGGAGTGGGCAGTCTTGGACTTGACTAACAAATTAAGGCTGAGCTAACATGTAATCATTACAACAATAGTTTTTGTTTTCCTTTTAGGATAAAGGTTTTAAAATGTTACTAAACCCCAGGCCCTGCATTCACTATATTTGGTCTCCCCGGACCCTGCATTCACTATATCTGGTCTCCCCGGACCCTGCATTCACTATATCCGGTCTCTGCGGACCCTGCATTCACTATATCTGGTCTCCCCGGACCCTGCATTCACTATATCTGGTCCCCCCGGTCCCTGCATTCACTATATCTGGTCTCCCCGGACCCTGCATTCACTATTTCTGGTCTCCCAGGACCCTGCATTCACTAGATCTGGTCTCCCCGGACCCTGCATTCACTATATCTGGTCTCCCCAGACCCTGCATTCACTATATCTGGTCTCCCCGGACCCTGCATTCACTAGATCTGGTCTCCCCGGACCCTGCATTCACTAGATCTGGTCTCCACGGGCCCTGCATTCACTATATCTGGTTTCCCCGGACCCTGCATTCACTATATCTGGTCTCCCAGGACCCTCCATTCAATATATCTGGTCTCCCAGGACCCTCCATTCACTATATCTGGTCTCCCCAGACCCTGCATTCACTATATCTGGTCTCCCAGGACCCTGCAGTCACTATATATGGTCTCCCCGGTCCCTACATTCACTATATCTGGTCTCCCTGGACACTGCATTCACTATATCTGGTCTCCAAGGATCCTGCATTCACTATATCTGGTCTCCCGGGACCCTGCATTCACTATATCTGGTCTCCCCAGACCCTGCATTCACTATATCTGGTCTCCCCGGACCCTGCATTCACTATATCTGGTCTCCCCGGACCCTGCATTCACTATACCTGGTCTCCCAGGACCCTGCATTCACTAAAGCTGGTCTCCCCGGGCCCTGCATTCACTATATCTGGTCTTCCAGGACCCTGCATTCACTAAATCCGGTCTCCCCGAACCCTGCATTCACTATATCTGGTCTCCCCGGACCCTGCATTCACTATATCTGGTCTCCCCGGACCCTGCATTATTATTATTATTATTATACAGTATTTATAAAGTGCCAACAGTTTGCTCAGCGCTTTACATTATAATCAGAGACAGTACACAAGACAGTACAGTAACAATACAGTTCAATACAAGAGGGATTAGAGGGCCCTGCTCCTTGGAGCTTACAATCTAGGAGGGAGGGGATAGTGGTACAATCACTATATTTGGTCTCCCCGGACCCTGTAAGTTAGGGACCTTAGATTGTACACCCCTTGAGGGTTAGGGACTGATGTGAATGTACAATATATATGTAAAGCACTGCGTAAATTGACAGCGCTATATAAGTTCCTGAAATAAATATTTTAATTTTAACAAATTATACTTTACAACCTCTTTAATACCGCTTTAATTATTAAAAAAAAAGTCAAATTCCTCTGCAAGCGGAGATAATATATGTTCCTAGAGTTTATTTCCATTCATTCTCACCATTGCATTCTTTTTAAAACTTAAAATATCTACTTGTTGAGTTATCTCACAGTGGTAGCTGAAAAGTACAAAGTCTATTATTCCATTGCTGTGCCTTACAACGTCTAATTTGCCTGTACACCCTAACCACAGGTTCTCCTAGGCAGAACTCCTGTGCCACAAGTTTCATCATCAGAGACCAACTGTATTCAGACACAGGCAAAGAAACCTTTTTTTGAGCGTATGTACTATCATAGTCCAAACATTACTAATGTGCAATTACCATTGGCAACGGCTCAAGCAAAGATGGCCCTGCAGATTTTCCTGGTCAGGCTGCAATTCTATTGGCCTCTGACAAATGATTAATTAAATTTTGTTTGTGTGGAATAAAAGAAAGCATGAATGCAGTTATCAACCTGTTATGTACACAACAAAGCCTGGATCTTAGTTACATAGTTAATCAGATTAAAAAAAGAAGACAAGTTCATCTTGATCAACCAATATAAAAAAAGATAAATAGAAAACCTCCATATCCACTTAAAGTAGAACGTCACTCTCTCAATCAGCATATTCTCCCCGAAGGTTTCCCCGGACCCTGCATTCACTATATCTGATCTCCCCGGACCCTGCATTCACTATATCTGATCTCCTCGGACCCTGCATTCACTATATCTGGTCTCTCCGGACCCTGCATTCACTATATCTGATCTCCCCGGACCCTGCATTCACTATATCTGATCTCCTCGGACCCTGCATTCACTATATCTGGTCTCCCAAGACACTGCATTCACTATATCTGGTCTCCCAGGACCCTGCATTCACTATATCTGATCTCCCAGGACCCTGCCTTCACTATATCTGGTCTCCCCGGACCCTGCATTCACTATATCTGATCTCCCAGGACCCTGCATTTACTATATCTGGTCTCCCAAGACCCTGCATTCACTATATCTGGTCTCCCCGAACCCTGCATTCACTATATCTGGTCTTCCCAGACCCCGCATTTACTATATCTGGTCTCCCAAGACCCTGCATTCACTATATCTGATCTCCCAAGACCCTGCATTCACTATATCTGATCTCCCAAGACCCCGCATTCACTATATCTGATCTCCCAAGACCCTACATTCACTATATCTGATCTCCCCGTACCCTTCATTCACTATATCTGATCTCCCAAGACCCTGCATTCACTATATCTGATCTCCCAAGACCCTGCATTTACTATATCTGGTCTCCCAAGACACTGCATTCACTATATCTGGTCTCCCCAGACCCTGCATTCACTATATCTGATCTCCCAAGACCCTGCATTCACTATATCTGATCTGCCAGGACCCTGCATTCACTATATCTGGTCTCCCAGGACCCTGCATTTACTATATCTGGTCTCCCAGGACCCTGCATTCACTATATCTGATCTCCCAAGACCCTGCATTCACTATATCTGGTCTCCCAGACCCTGCATTCACTATATCTGGTCTCCCACAGTACACACAACATGGAAATGCAATTATTTTAGTAAATGCAAACTGCTAAATTCCTTTTCTCATCAGCAGTATACTGTATAGCAGTCTTGTGACTTCTATCAGTGTCCAGCAGAGCACATGTTAAAGCTTATATATAAAAAGTGCAGCGCGTGAAAACATATAAAGTGAATGACAAACCAATTCAGTGGCACAAAATATATATAAATTGAATTTAAATGAATCTGAGTTTGACCAATAAAATAATTAACAAAAAAGTCCTTTCAATATAAATCTGTCAGTGGTGTGATAATAGAAATCACAGCAAATCGTGTTCAGTCCCACACAGTGCTTTGGAATCTGATGTGCAATCCGCCACCACTATGCACTCACCAGAAAGTAATCCATAAAAGCATTCCACGTGGAGAAATCAAAATATTACATATGCCACATACCAAGATGGCAGCCGTTCCGAAGCAGTGCTAGGATTGTTGGTTTGAATCCCAAACACAGCACCACCTGCCTGGAGCTTGCATAATCTCCCTGTGCCTGCGTGGGTTTCCTCCGGGTACTCCGGTTTCCTCCCACACTCCAAAGACATGCTGGTAGGTCAATTGGCTCCTGTCTAAATTGGTCCTAGTATTTGTATGTATGAATGTGAGTTAAGGACCTTAGATTGTACTCCCCTTGAGGGTTAGGGACTGATGCAGAGCATTCCCCAAACTTGTACATTATTATTATTATACAGGATTTATATATTATTATTATTATTATACAGGATTTATATATTATTATTATACAGGATTTATATTATTATTATTATTATTATTATTATTATACAGGATTATATATTATTATTATTATTATACAGGATTTATATATTATTATTATACAGGATTTATATATTATTATTATTATTATACAGGATTTATATATTATTATTATTTACAGGATTTATATAGCGCCAACAGTTTGCTCAGCTCTTTACAATATAAAGGGAGACAATACAGCAACAATACAGTTCAATACAAGAGGGAAAGGAGGGCCTGATCCTGGGAGCTTACAATCTACGTTAGCTCAACTTTCTATGAAAAAGGGGAGGAAAAGGAATTACAATTTATTGTAATCAGGGCACATTTTTTAAGCTGTTCAGCTGACTGCTCCCCCCCCCCCCCCCCCCCCGTGTCAGTGGGTGGCCTGCTTAGGGGGCTCCTAGTGCCTGATCTAGCCTGGATAGTTACAAATGAATGAGATGAGACCAGATATATATATTATATTCTCATCTGTAATGTATTTAAAGAATAAAAAGCATGTAGTCATAGGAACAGTCAAAGCAGATACAAATAGAGTTAAAAAAATGTTGTCCAGTAGACCATGGCAGCCAATCAGCAATCAACTTTTAGCAATTTAGGGTAGGCAGATTAAAGATGGCTAATACTGATTGGTATTACTGATATTGATCTCCTTCACTTCCTGGTAGAGACTTCCCCTATCCTTGTGAGCAAGCCAGGAGTGGTGAAACACGTCAAGGAAGGTTGGTTCCCAGGTGAGGTCATTGCTGTATACAGTTATTTTGTTACAAACTAATAAATTTGGCAAAAAGAGCAAAGAGTGAGTGAAGAGAGAATTTATTCTCTCTTGAGAAGAGGAGATTAAGGGGGGAGATGATCTCCATGTATAATACATAAGAGGGGATATGATCACCATGTATAATACATAAGGGGGGATATGATCTCCATGTATAATACATAAGGAGGGATATGATCTCCATGTATAATACATAAGGGGGGATATGATCTCCATGTATAATACATAAGGGGGATATGATCACCATGTATAATACATAAGGGGGGATATGATCTCCATGTATAATACATAAGGGGGGGATATGATCTCCATGTATAATACATAAGGGGGGATATGATCTCCATATATAATACATAAGGGGGATATGATCACCATGTATAATATATAAGGGGGGATATGATCTCCATGTATAATACATAAGGGGGGGATATGATCTCCATGTATAATACATAAGGGGGGGGATATGATCACCATGTATAATACATAAGGGGGGATATGATCTCCATGTATAATACATAAGGGGGGATATGATCACCATGTATAATACATAAGGGGGGATATGATCTCCATGTATAATACATAAGGGGGATATGATCTCCATGTATAATACATAAGGGGGATATGATCACCATGTAGAATACATAAGGGGGGATATGATCTCCATGTATAATACATAAGGGGGGATATGATCACCATGTATAATACATAAGGGGGGGATATGATCACCATGTATAATACATAAGGGGGATATGTTCTCCATGTATAATACATAAGGGGGGATATGATCACCATGTATAATACATAAGGGGGGGATATGATCACCATGTATAATACATAAGGGGGGATATGATCTCCATGTATAATACATAAGGGGGGATATGATCTCCATGTATAATACATAAGGGGGGATATGATCTCCATGTATAATACATAAGGGGGGGATATGATCTCCATGTATAATACATAAGGGGGGATATGATCTCCATGTATAATACATAAGGGGGGATAGGATCTCCATGTACAATACATCAGTGGTTCATATAGTGAACTCGGTGTAGAGCTATTCACCTTGAGGTCATCACAGAGGACAAGGGAGCACTCTTTACATCTGGAGGAAAAGAAATTTAATCTCCAAACACGGAAAGGTTTCTTCACAGTAAGAGTGTAAAAATCTTGAATAGACTCCCTCAAGAGTTGGTTCTGGCCAGCTCAGTGGATTGCTTTAAAAAAGTCCTGGATTATTTCTTGGATACACAGAATTTAACTGGATATAACATTTATAGGTAAAGTTGATCCAGGGAATATCCGATTGCCTCTCAGAGGATCAGGAAGGAATTATTTCCCCTGCAGGAGCAAATTGGATCATGCTTTGCTGGTTTTTTTTGCCTCCCTCTATATCAACTGTGGGTATAGGATTATAACTACAATGGCCGGCACCCAGGTTGTCCATGTGCAGGAGGGGTGAGTCCTGAGCGGAGCTATGGGTTTGGGTATGTGTCTGTAATACTGATTGATCACATGACACACTAATCCTAGCCATTTCCTAAATTAGCTGCACACCTTTACTTTTTGCACTGTTTTATTAACAAAACAATTTTGCGGCCTTTTCTTTTACAGTGATCTCATTTAAATGCCATCAGTCCCTACCCTACTTTTGCTTCACATACTGTGTACACAAAATTAAAAAAATAATTTTATCATTAAAATGTCTTCCATAAAAATGATAACACTTTTACACGACAAGGTTTTCTACAATCCCGTGCTATTTGCTGCACAATTTATCATCTCGCTCAGTGGCTTTAAACACAAGAGCTCATTACTATGGAACAGGAACCCTGAGCACTTTCCAAGCAAATTGCTATACAAGCGTATTCATTTTTGTTCTTTGTTTTTTTTGGGGGGTTTTTTTCTTTTTTTTTTTTCTTTTGTAATTCTGTGGGAACAAAATTGAGATTCTTAATAAATATATTTATATTATATGTTTGCTGCCTAATGCCATCACACATTTCTCAGGCCATGAAATAAATGTCAGTAGACAATGTAAAGTGACTTCATAATGCATTTGTGGAGGTCATATTGTTGATGTTGCCAAGCAACATGGCTGATGTTCCACTGTCCCCGGGCTGTTCAGCTGTCTGGTAGTTTCTGTCATTTTAAATTCTACATATTTTTCTCCATACAATTTAAAAGAAAAGTAAAGAAGTGATTTTTTTTTTCTTTTTTTAAAAAAACCAACAGTAATTCAAGATCAAGTAAGCATTTACATAGTTTATAAATGTACCCTTTCAAGGCAACTTGGAAAATACATTAAAAAAATTGTTGAAAGCCAAAGTTTACTTAAAAAAATAAAAAAATACATAAAAAATACACAGAAGGGATATTACTGATATGACCCCCCCCCCTCCTAAGGGAACTATCATGGGTACTCATCAATATAGCCCGACTATGCCCAATCTTTCTGCCCAGCTCCTCCATTCACAGAAGCCATACTATAGCATGAAAGATCATCTATGAATGGAGAAGTGGACCCGTCAATCATTTTCTCAACCTCCATTCATAGAAGCTGCAGTACGACTTCTATGAGTGGAGAAGCAGGGCAGAAAAGACGGCATAGTCGGGT